CAAACATGGCACTCAGTGAACCCAGCTCACAAAAGTTCAACTGTGGCCCCTTCCAGTTACTACAGCTCCATCTACTGCTTGTCACCAAAGGCTCTGGACTTCAGTTTCTTAGTCTGTAACAGATAAGGCCCCTTTCCTTCTATACATTGCTGCTGCTGCTGCTGCTGCTGGCGCCGCCACCTCCTCCCCGTCCTCTTCCCCCCCCCCCCCTGCCCCCAGCAGTCTCCAGGGGAAGAAAGCTTGAGGCTAGCAGACCTGAGGTTAACAGTCTTCTAACCGGACACTTAACTGCCACACCCAGGGGCCTGACCCAGGGCCAGATGGGTGGGGCTGAGTTACCAGCCAGCCAGCCACTGCTCTCTGACCCTTCTCACCATGGGGTCTCCTGCCTAGAGCCTTACACACACACACACACACACACACACACACACACACACTCACACTCACATCCCTGGCAGACTCCAGTCTGTCTAAGGCCCCTGCTGGGCTCCGCCTGCACAAAAGCACTCTTGTGTTCCCTGCCCCCAGACTTGCCTGTTTTTTCAGCCTCTGGCAGGTTCCCTCAATTCTCAGGACTCTCCCCTCCGAAGAGCTGCAGCTCATCGTGCTCACCCCAATCCAGACCGCCTGTTGAAGCCATCTCTCTTCCTGTATGAGGAAACCCCAATGAACTACTTCATAAGATACCCCATGGCTTCAGAGTTTGAGGCTTCCAAGGTGAGCAGCTTTGCCCAAGAGTACTGTTAGGACTCCTGGTATGTCTAGGGCCTTCTTGCCAATCCCCACAACGACAGTGTCTTACAACAGTCCAGAGGTCCTGAGCTTAAGCTAGACTTTGATTCCCAAAGATAAAAATGGAACAGGACAAAACTCCCTTGCAGTTGGGAAGTTCAGAAGAAGCCAGAAACCTACTATGTGCAAGGCCTTGGGTTCCACCTAGCTGCTCTGATAAGCCAGATTCTGCCACCCATCTTCAATAAGCCAGGTAAAAGCTTGAAATTAAGATAGTGAAAAGCAGGAAAAGGAGATTTACTCAATGTAGCCACATTGTGAAAAGGGACATCCAGGGACCCTCCAAGTCCATCTTCAGGTCCCCACATGAAGTTTAAGCTTCAACAGAAAGCAAGAGCTATTATGTACAACCAAGCAGACCTGATCCAGGGCGGTCCTGCTGCCAACGACCCATCACTGTCTCCTCAAAGTGGTATGACAAGTTGTAAATCTTTTTCCAGGTTCGGCTGGCCCAGGCTTTAGGCGATTTTTTTCTTTCCTAGCATAAGCTTCCTTGAAAGTTCTGATTTCCTGGGGGTGGGGGTGGGGGTCTGCTGCTAAATAGTCGCATAATCAAATGGAGGGACAGGTGTCTTTTTATACATCCGCACACTTGCCAGGCAGGCTGCTAAGAGGTCTCACGGCTATCCTCTCCAATGACCCTGCCACAGTCACAACAGGGCAGGCAGGCAGGCAGATGGGTGGAAACGGAACCTTCCAGGCTCATCCTGCCCTGGGAGTCTACCTGTCCATAGCTATGTTCTCAAACAGGCACCTGGATCAGCACCACCTAGAAGTAACATAGACATTTAAGCCTCTAGCTCCAGTTTTTGATAAGTGGGATGGGGGCCTGAGACTGGACATATCAAACAAACTCCCAGTGTTGCTGATGTTCCCCGTCTTCCAGGCAGAATGAGACCCACCGACACTGAATGGCTAAATGATCCCCTGCCAAAGTAGCAAGGTTCTGAACTTGAAACCAGTGACCTCGGGGGTTCCAAACTCAGCTCCTCTTATAAGGTCTTGTCATCTTTCTTAACTATTTCTCAGCATTCCTGTGTGTCAGGCCCATTATCTACCTTCTCTCTAACTTATTTCCACTGCGCAAGAGGTCTCTGAAGCTGGCAAAAATGGGATTTGAACTCAGGCCTAACTATAAAGCCTGAGTGATTCTGCCTGAAGAATTGAAAGAGGAGGAAGAGGAAGAAGGGAGAGAAAGAAGAGGAAAAGGAGGCACTCGGGCTATCAGAATGACTTAGTAAGGAAGGGAAGGAGACTCAGAAAGAAAAGAAAATCACTGAAGAGTGGCCAAGTTACACGTTATCTTCTTAGAAGGATGCCCCAGTGCTCACTTCTAGCTCTAGGACCCTAGGTAACTGTTTAGGGAGAGCTCTTTTCTAAACTAAGAAACAATGCTCTAACTGCTAATCTCGGCTCGAAGAAAACCTGCCCCTCCCAGACTACAGCAAAGGAACCAGGTCTCTGAAAGCTATCCAGTGTGGCAGGCCAGCCACAACATAGGGGTTCTTATAGCTTAGGAGCCACAACATAGGGGTTCTTGTAGCTTAGGAGCCCAACTCCTTCCCCTTTGGACCTCAAATTCTCTTAGGCCTGGGCTCTCATGGGACTGTGAGCCTCTAACAAGGCCTTCACCCAGTGTGCTCTTCACTGCCGTATCTCTACGACCACATCTAGTTCTCGGGATATCAGAGCCACAGAAAGGACTAAATGGGTCGCCATATCTCCACTATGCGTGTAGGACTCGTGGGAACCCTACCAGCTACCAAGATTCCCATGGCTATTGCCCCTGATGATGAGAGAGGGTCCTGTATGAGGCTGAAGAACCTGAACGACGACGAACCAAGAGGCTGGGAATTAATTTCTTTTTAAAATTACATTTACTTATCTGTGTGTGGGTAATGATAGTACCAAGGCAGGTATGGGGAAGCCAGTTTTCTGGGGTCTCAGGGATTAAACCTAGGTCATCACCCTAAAATTCCTTATATTTTATTTTTAATACATACTCTGCCATACACCCACTGCTGGGAAAGGGCAAAACTGTCTGGATAAATTTAATTATAAATTAGTAATTTTTTTTTTTTTTTTGCTTTTTCGAGACAGGGTTTCTCTGTGTAGCTTTGCGCCTTTCCTGGGACTCACTTGGTAGCCCAGGCTGGCCTCAAACTCACAGAGATCCGCCTGCCTCTGCCTCCCAAGTGCTGGGATTAAAGGCGTGCGCCACCACCGCCCGGCAAATTAGTATTTTTTAAAAATATTTATTATGTTGTTTATTTATTATGTTTACAGTGCTCTGCCTGCATGTCTGCCTGCATGCCAGAAGAGGGAGGGCACCAGATCTCATTACAGATGGTTGTGAGCCACCATGTGGTTGCTGGGAATTGAACTCAGGACCTCTGGAAAAACAGTCAGCGCTCTTAACCTCTGAGCCATCTCTCTAGCCCTAGTATTTTTTTTGGTTTTTCAAGACAGGGTTTCTCTGTGTAGTCCTGGCTGTCCTGGAACTCACTCCGTAGATCAGGCTGGCCTACATAGAGATCCGCCTGTCTCTGCCTCCTGAGTGCTGGGATTAAAGACGTGTGCCACCACTACTCTGCCGTAAATTAGTACCTTTTTTGGTCATTGTATGAAAGAGAGTCCAACTATGGGCCACATGTGTCCTGGGACATCATGAATGCAGCCCAGTGTATTTGTAGAGGACAGTCACACCTCAATGTTAGAAGGATGAGACACTGGATAGGGTAAATCAACATTGTGGCAATAAAGAACTAAACCTTGGACAAAGTGAAACCCATCTTACTTCAGAGAACTCCACTTTCCCGGCGCCTCAAATAGAAGAGATCAGTGTGTGTTCTCTGGGGCTGTTCCAGGCAGTGGAAAGATGCAGCGCATGCTCAGATTGACCCCGGGCCAGCCAGGACCCAGACTGAAGGACAGCAACAAGGGGAGGGTGCCCTTCTTCAGGATGAGGGAAGAAAGGCAGACCATAAAAGAAGCCCTGCCACACACTGCCAGGAACCGAGGAAATGGGGCAGGAAAGGAGGGAAGGCCGAAAGACACAGCATCTTTTCCCAAATGAGTCAAAACTTAGAAAGTACAGGATCATTAGGATGAAGGATCAAAGGGACAAATTTAGCTCCTTTGAGCTGGTTTAACATGGCTGCTGCTTCACCCGCTCTTCAGACATGTGGACACCATCCTGTCATTGCTGGGCTTGACCTGCACTCGGCTTAGCTACTTGAAGGCAGTCACTGGGGGTGGAGGCGGAGGCTAGCTTAGCTGTAGAGGGCTTGCCTGGCGGTATGTAAGGTCTTGGGCTCCAGGCCTAGCGTTTGGCCCAGGGGAGGGGTACATACAAAGTTTGCATTTCAAGAAAAAAATAGCTGTTTTAAAAGCTGGGGACACCAAAGCCTCAGGAGCTAACTTTTTCTTCAGAATGCCATGTGTTAAGACCTGCCTACAAACTTCCTTTGGTTTGGAATGTTCTGCCTCCCTTTGAGATCACTTGATACTGAGGAAGTGGGGCAGGACTACAGAGTACACAAGGGTCTCAGAAATGTGTTCTCGGTGGCGGCACTTCACACATGCACAGAGCATCAGCCATGACTTGTTAAGAGCTCTCTGCCCTTCCTGACTCCCCGCCCCCGCTCTCAGCTCTCCATCTTTAAGTATTTCTGGCTGGCCCTCCTGCCACATGTCAGTAACATTCCAAGCTGGCTACCACATGTGCAGGCCCTGGCCTCCAACCCCTCCTGCAGAGCGCTCTGCTGTTCCAAGGGCACAGAGGGGCCAGGCGGCTCCCATTTCAGCACCAGCTTCAGTTGCTCACACATCTCAGAAATAAGACAAATTGAAAAAAACGAAACTCCAGAACAAAGTTCATACCTGAAAAAAACCTATATCCATTGAGTTTTTTTTTTTATTCCCACTAGATGAATCCACCGAAGTGAGTTAGAAGAGTGTACACGCTCACAGACACACACACCAGCGCACACACACCGAATTCAGACACCTGGGAGAGGTTGTTTTCTCCCCAAAGATCTGAGAGAGAGGGAAGCTCATGGGCTGACCACGTTAATAGCTCGGTTAACAAGAAATGTAGAGCATCCTGGGAGCACAGACTGCAGGGAGGAGCTGCCCAGTCCGGGAGCCTTCTGTCTACCTCTAGAAGCCATTTCGACAGTTACTATATTCAGAGAAGCCAGGAGGACTGCATGGACAGATGAACCTTTATTTAAAAAAATAGCACTTCAAATAAATTAAAAGGGACAACCGTCAAGTGTTCAAATTGTGAAGAAATATCTGAAAACCTAGAGCTTCCAGCTGCAGCCTTCTCACCCCATTCTTTGTCCGATGGCGAAGCCCACGCGTCTCCGAACTCCCACGCATTTCTCCCTGAGGTGAGGGAGGCGATCGCCAGCGGAGAGCAGGCAGACGGAGGCAGCTGCATCTGACTGGAATGAACATTGCCGCCAAGTACTCGCTAATACCGGTTTCACTTTATGACAAATGTAATCTTTCAAAAATAAAAACGGGGCGAGGGAAGCTGCATGTTTTGACAACTGAAATTCTTTAGGGCAGAACACTAACTCTAGTGCCTTTAGTGGGCAAGAGCAACTTTTCCTCCCAAGTCAAACACCATCCCCAGCCGAGCCTTGTGCTGCAAGCTTTTCAGGAGATGTTACCTAAACTTTATTAAAAGAAAAGAGCAAGTTTAAATATAGACACTGGACTAGCCCAGTCTGTAGTTCAAGTCCACATTCTTCATCTGAAGCATTGCATCAGGGAACCCCCTGAGTCTGCATGTTTTCAAGTTCACAGTACATGGAACCAGTTTTTTCTTTTTAATTTTTCCTCACTCAGAGCAGTCACACACAGTGACCGTTGACGCCGGAACCTCGGGCGGGGCCTTCTCCTCTGAGGCCTGGCCAGAGCTGCCCAAGGCTTCTCCTCAATGAGAATCGATGCTGTCATGCTCTATGGATGGGAAAAAAGCAAGAAAATAAAAGCACCTGGTACAGGTTTCATGAGATCCATTCGGATTCACTGTGTTCCAAACCCACTGCTGATGCCATGTGTCCACTTTGTGTGCTGAAACAGTTTGTGGCCTTGGAGTTGGTCTCAATTCGAAGAACTGTTATTGGATGCCCCAGAGGTTGATGCAATAGCAGCTCCGGCAGGGCTACTTGTAGAGACTGACTTTCGGATGTGAGGCAACAAGTAGGGATCACAGGCCAGCTGCTGGACATCGATACGGTCCTCTTTTCGATAGGCCAAGCATCGCCGGATAAATGCCTGGAAAAGGAAGTTTCATACAAGAGACTGAAGGAGATAATCCTGGTACACCAGTGGGAACCTGAGGAACCCAAACCACTGCTAGCCAGAGCAAAGCCACCCTCACAAAAGGTTTACAGCCTTCCCAAATCCATCAGGCAGAGCAGAGAAGACAAGGGCCAACAGTAGTACTGAGGTTTGCTGAGTATTGGACATGATTTGACTTAACCACACTATCAACACGGAAGCTCCCTTCCCAGCCAGTCAGAAGGCAGTGAAGTCATGTTTAGGAAACTCTTTTTTTGTTTTGTTTTTTCGAGACAGGGTTTCTCTGTGTGGCTTTGGAGCCTGTCCTGGATCTCGCTCTGTAGACCAGGCTGGCCTCGAACTCAGAGATTCATCTGGCTCTGCTTCCCGAGTGCTGGGATTAAAGGTGTGCGCCACCACTGCCCAGCGAGGCAACTCTTATCAAAAGACTTTTAAGTCTTTTTTTCTTGATCAGAGAATTCAACTTATTCAAATTTTATAATGCAATTTATTTAAATGAAGTCAAGTTGTTTGTTTTTCTTGTATCCCATGCTGGTCTCAAATTCAGTACATAGCCAAGGATGCCCCTGAATTTCTGATCCCCCTGCCTTCACATCTAGAGTATTGGGATTACACACGTGCACCCAACCACATTTGCTTTATAAAGTGCTAGAGATGGAACCCAGGGCTTTGTGTGTTCCACGCAAGCACTCTATCAACTTAGTTATATCCTCGGCCCCGATGAGTTAGTTTTAAAGTCTAAAACATCATATTTATCAAAAGTCTGTATTTCACAGTAAGCTGATAGTGATGTGTGGCAGGCTCACAGAAGACAACAACATCCCAGCCTGATGATGGGATGTTGACAGGACAGGCTGTGGAGCAAGGAGACCATGCATGGGAACTGTGTTCTTCACGCTCTATTCTGTTATGAACCTGAACCTAAAACTGCTTAAAAAAGTAAAATCTGGCTGTGGATGGAACTTAGAGGTAGAGTGTTTTACCTATCAAGCAAATGGTCTGGCATTCAGACTTCAGCATAGATAAATAAAGGAGGCTTATTTACAGAAAAATCCTAAACATGAAACAAGTGATTTTCTTTTTCTGTGTTTAGTTAACAAAATATAAAGGTAGAAGGGCAATTCTGACTTTTCAAAATTGAAGACACAGGTATTTGCTTGATTAAAGTATTTGGAAGCTAAGAGACATTCAGAGGAATGAACATGGAACTCCTAGATTTGAAAATGAGCCTTTCCTAGTGAAATACACAAACTAGAGTTTTAACAGGTTCTCACAGATTGCAACCTGATCAAATAAATGTGTTGTGATATCTCCACGCAGCTGCCAGAGTATGCTCTTAAAACTGGACCCACAGTTGCCGTGACCACACCGTTTGCCTGCTTCTCAGCCATTTCCCATTGGCTCTGCACTTCTACAATTCTCTTTCCTTCTCTGCAGTACACACTTCCCTCAAATCTACCCACGGCTCCGACTTGCACATCATTCAAGATAATGATCAAATAGCAGTTCATCATGGAGGCCTACCGCAACCATGCCAATCAAAAATGGAGACGGGGCTCTCACTTTTCCACCTTAGTACTTCTACATCATTTCTCCTGTGTAGGTCTTAGCTCCCCAGACAGCCCACCCTTCCTGGGGGCAGTAACACTCATACACATAAAATAAATCTAAAAAAATGTTAAATTTTTTTTTTTCTCCCACCAAGTATGAGGGATGGGAGTGGTGACTCACACCTGTAATCTCGTCACTTAGGAAGCTGACACAGGAGAATCACTGTGATTTCAAAGCCTGCAAAGGCTACACAGTGAGCTCTAGGCCAGTCTGGACTACATAACAAGATCCTACCTCAAGAAACAAAACCTAACAAACAAAAAAAGTGCTGGGACCAGCTGGGGTTTTAACTGTGCTTCAAGATGCAATTTCCTAATCAACTTTGAAAAACAGGCTCAAGCTCACTGCAATGCCCACACTATTCCACTATTGCACACCACTAGGTCTAACTCTACGCAGTCTACCTGTCCTTCCCTGTTCTGTGCCATATAGCCATTGTGAAGTACTATCTGCCTGTGAACATTCCTTTTCCTGAATGTGGGGGTGGGGTGGGCAGACTATAAGCAATACTCTCTATCCACTGTTCTTAAACATAGAATAGCAATTTGTCCCCATCCTGCTGCTTACTAATGGCTGAATTTCATATTAAACAATTCAGTTCCTATCACCCAAAGAAATGACACAGGAAGCCAGCCATTTCTGCTGGCCAACGAATCAAACTTACCTTTGCTTCAGGTGTGACTACTGGCTTTGGCGGGAACTGTACTTCAGTAGCTTTAAGAATAGTATTCTCTTGTAAAATATCTTGCTGGGACTGGTTATGGCCAAAAGGCTGTCATATAAAAACAAAATAAACAAAGGTTGGCCTCTGGTTATACACTTCAGTACCACAGAAGTCTCCAAGCTCTGGGGATGCCCTTCTTTAATTCTCACCTCTGACCTTCTCAATGGGGAGGGGCCAAAGCTTACGGACCAGGTCAAGGCAGAAGACAGAACTAGCAGCAGCTTCTCCTATCCCTAGCTTTGCTCACAGCAAAGAAAGACTCAGAACAGAAATGAGCAGCCTCTTGAGCTCTGAGTCACACCCTAGGTGACTACACAGATCTATGTGCCACTAGCCAAGCCAAGATGTCCACAAAAAACCAAAAACCAAACCAAACCAAACCAAACCAAACCAAACACGGATGGAAAAACAAACCAAGGGAAGCTAGAGAGATGGCTCAGCAACTGAGAACACTGGCCGTTTGGTTCCCAGCACCCACGTGGAGGTTCACAACCACCTGTAACTCCAGCCTCGGGGTATCCAATGCCTTCTTCTCAACTCAGAAAGTGCATGTAATTACATGCAGGAAAAACTCTCATACACATAAAATAAATAAATCTAAAAAAAAAATGTTAAAAAAAAATTTTTTTCTCACACTAAGTATGAGGGATGGGATTACACCTGTAATCAACCTCATCACTTAGGAAGCTGACACAGGAGAATCACTGTGATTTCAAAGCCTGCAAAGGCTACACAGTGAGCTCTAGGCCAGTCTGGACTACATAACAAGATCCTACCTCAAGAAACAAAACCTAACAAACAAAAAAAAAGTGCTGGGACCAGCTGGGGTTTTAACTGTGCTTCAAGTTGCAGTTTCCTAATCAACTTTGAAAAACAGGCTCAAGCTCACTGCAATGCCCACACCATTAACAACAACTCAACCTTACTGGACAGTACACAACATGACTAAGCTCCACTAGTTCTGCAGAGCTCTGTCTTGGGAGAGGCTGGATAAAGAAAGACCAAGAGGTTAAAGAGGAAGGCGTTGTCTGTGTTAAGAGCTTGGTCTGGGAATCTAATCAAAATATTAAGAGTTCACAGGAGCTGCCAAACTCCCATCTGCTTTATGCCTGTTCAGCCTAACTGAATACCAAAGCATACTGAAGGCTGCAGGAGGATGTGACTATACAACTGGACCCTAATATGTGTTTGTATAAATACACATGTGTGGGTATAGAACAGATATGCTCCCAAGGGAAAACACTGTCATTGCTTGCTTTTATGATATAGCACCTCTATCAGAAACAACAGACAGGAAATATTGTTGGGGGTGTGGGCAATGGACCACAGGGCTTTGTACCTTTAAGCTAAGTACTGTGCCTTTGAACTACATCCTTGGTTTTCTTGATAGGTTTTTACTATATAGTTCGGGTTTCCCATGAACTCCTTGGATTTTCCTGCCTCAGACTCCTAAATACTGGAATGAACTACCACACCTGGCCAAGGGATACTTGCTGATATCACCTTCTCAGCATACATATATACACACAAAGCGGGGGGGTGGGGGGGGTGGGGTTGGCTCAGCAGCTAAGAGCACTTGCTACTCTTGTAGAGAACCCCAGTTTGGCTCCCAATGGTCAATCAACTCATAACCTCACAACTTGTAAATCTAGCACCAGGGTTTCTGTGCTAGTGAGCTGTGTCAACTTACACAAGCTGGAATCATCTGGAACCTTAATTAAGGAATTGCCTCCATCAGACTGCCTGTAGACAAGTCAGCGGGGCATCTTCCTGACTCAAGATGGTGAGGAAGGGCCCAGCCTACTGTGGGCAGTGTCACTCTGCACAGGTGGTCCTGGCTGATATGAACAAGCAGGCTGAGCAAGTCATGAGGAGCAAATCAGTAAGCAGCACTCCTCCACGGTTCCTGCCCTGACTTCTCTCAATGGCGGACTGTGATCCAGTTTTACATAAGCCAAATAACACCCCCATGTTGCTGTTTTGTGGTGGGTGCTTGTTTGTCATGGTGTTTATCACAGTAACAGAAAGCAAACGAGACACTAGCTAATACCCTTGTCCAGTCTCCATGGGCAAACACACTCATGTCCTCAGACACACAAACATAAGTAATAAAATACATCTTTGCCAGGTATGGTGACTCACTCCTTTAATCTCAGTGCTCACTCAGGAAGCAGAGGTAGGACAATCTCTGTGAATTTGAGGCCAGCTCAATCTAAACATAGAGAGCTCCAAATCAGCAGGGCTAGAGTGAGACTCAGTCTCAACAAAACAAAACTAAACTAACAAGTCAGATGTAGCAGCATACACCTGTAATCCCAGCACAGGGGAGACTGAGACAACAGAATGCAGGGACTTGCTGGCCAGCTAGTCTAGCTGAGTCAGGTTCAGTGAGAGACCTTGTCTCAACAAATAAGATGGAGGATAAATAAGGACTAACCTGAGGCAAACTTCTAGGTTTCACAGCATGCACAAGTGCATGGTATATTTTTATTAGCAACAGCTTTATCTAATGAGGTGGTTAAAAATAAAATCTAGGGATTCTTCAAGGTTCAGATCTGATTAGAACCTTGAGAATGGTTCTTGGGCAGGTTGTTCATGTTACTAAATGATTTCAAGACAAATGTTGATATAACCTCAGCATTCAAGAAGCTGGGACAGGGGGGTTGCCTTGAGTCTGAGGTCAGTCTGGACTATATAGTAACAGGCCAACCACAGCTACAAAGCAAGACCTTTAAAACAAACAAACAAACAAACAAACAAACCACCCTGTTTCACATTGAATTCACACACGTATCAGAATCAACACATCTTATATTTGAGAGTAAAACACGCATGTCTCTGATTCCTTAGGAGAATTCAGTAGATGCCCTCCAGCATGGAATTTGTAGCTATCCACGAAGCATTTACTGAGAAACCTTTCTTTTCTTTAAATCAGTACTTTCAGGATCCCAATGATTAACTGCAAAGCAGAATCCAGACTGAGGCAGTGGACGTGGCCCCAGGCTGCTATATGCATCCCTTCCTCCTCACCTTCCTCCCATAAAGACACTGGTAGAAGATCACACCCACTGACCAGACGTCAACTTTATTTGAGATCTTTGGTGGCTCTTTCCCAACCACAAAACACTCTGGTGGCAAATACCTAGGAGAAAACAGAAATAACAACACTCAGATAAATGAATATATAACTCTAAGTATATACAAAAAGAAAAAATAAAGGACCTTGTTAAAAATACAACTCAGCCGGGCATGGCGGCGCACACCTTTAATTAAGAGAGGGGCACAGATAGATGGCTCTCTGCAAGGAGTGACTACTAGAACAGTCGGAGATAAGCAAAGAGACCTTGTCTCTCAAACAAACAAACAAACAAACAGTGTGTGTGTGTATAAAATGTACATATATATGTGTACACACACATATGCCAAACGCTCAATTTCAACCATCAGCTTAGAAACATATACAAGTAAACAAAAGGACACTTGAACTTACAGAGGTGACAATCTCTTCATGTGGCACTAAAGCGTTTTATTTCTCGGCTTATGGAGATGTCAATATTCTCTCTAGTTTCACTTAGCTCACCCCCAGCCTCCTTTCTCAGGCTTGTGCTGACTCCAAGTGTCATTCACAATTTTGTTGTTGCAGTATTTTGTAGTGACGGTGACAACTGGGGGTCACACCAATGGTCTCATGCATGCGATTAAATGTTCTACCACGGAGCTATCCACTCAGCCTACAATATTCAGACTTAACTAAAATCAATTTTTTGGGGGATGCTGAAGACTGAATCAGAGCTTTCAATTAGCTGCATTTCCAGCCCCTAAAATTAATGAATGTTTTAAAGTCCAAATGAATTCAGGATCTAGAGGTCTCTGAGGACAGATTCTTTTGGAAACCTCTACCAGAAATAATTCCAATGTAAAATCCAGAGTGACATTAAAGTCCAAGTTAACAGAAAAGGTTTTATTTTTCTACATTAAGGTTGAGATAGCTTGCTGAAAGGCTAACAATTAGTATAGCAAAAGCCACACAAAGACATTCAGCTAAATTCCTTCTCTCCCCATCACGGGTCTCTGAATAACCTAGGGGATGGTGGACAAAAAATTATATGGTGTGGAAGGAAAGAAGCTCTGAGCATTTAGGAAACCAAATAAATACGCCTGGAATTGTAGCCACAGCTCAGCTGGAAGGCAGAATTCTGAAGACACTAGAGCAGTGGTTCTCAACCTTCCTAATGCTGCGGCCCTTTAACACAGTTCCTCATGTGCTGACCCCAGCCATAACATTACTTTCATTGCTACTTCATACCTGTAACTTTGCTACTGTTACGAACTGTAATGTAAACATCTGTGTTTTCCAATGGTCTTGACCCCTGTGAAAGGGTTGTTTGCCTCCCAAGAGGGTCACGACCTTCAGGCTGAGAACCTCTGCAGACTCAGCCAGCAGAGTCCACCCTACAGACAGATCGTTTATTTGGGCCCCTGCCGTGCTTCTCGTATAAAAATCTAAACTTAAATCCTTCTGTGCTCATCTACCATCTCTTGTCAAGCTTGTTTACTTCCGTATTTTCTCATCTTTTTCATAGCAGACATCTGGATGATTATGACAACCTAGAACCAGATTATTTTATGATGAATACTTATAGCTAAGACATATACTGAAAGTATAGATAGGTGGCAGTGGGTTTGTGGGTTGGATTTCCAGTGTCAAAGCAAAACACAAAACAAAATAAACTATGCTAAAAATTGAAATACACTAAATTCACTATGAAGGAAAATGGGGGGAGTGGGGAGGAAATAAAAATGTAAGCAGAAGAATAAAATTATGAGAACAGCTCTTCCAAGCAGCACTCACTGGACCCTTGATTTCACGGTTGCTGGTTCTTTAATACACATCAACTTAAATATGGCTTTGCATAAATAACAAATATAACTTTGATTCTAAAAATGACCACTGAAATGTATTCATAATTTTTTTTCTGAGGAGGTGGCAGGGAAGAACAGGGGCGGTGAACTCATCCAAAGGGCAGAGTGGTAAATTTAAGATTTTTAAGAAATGTAGCCAGGTAGTGGTGGTGCACGCCTTTAATCCCAGCAGAGGCAGGTGGATCTCTCTGAGTTTGAAGCCAGCGTGGTCTACAAGACAGCCAGGGCTACACAGAGAAACCCTGTCTTGAGAAACAAACAAACAAACACACAAATAAAATTAGAATGTAATGTACAAGGTACTTCAACCTGACAGTACATGTTTGGTAAATCAACTTGTAAAATTCAGTTTCTCGAGCTATAAATGAAGAAATAAACTAGTTTTTCCATACAAACAATACTGAAAATAGTAAATATTCTTATTTCCTAAGAAGAGCTTTGGGAGGGATTATAGAAACCAGGCCTCTGATAATAAACTATGCTAAAGCACGGCTGCATTTTTATCACAATAAAAGTCCTCATACGGAAGAAATGAAGCTCAGGAACAATGTTCAAAGCATAATCTGAGCTCACTTACCTCTTGTCTGCGTTTGGTATTGTTTGTTTGGAGACAGAGTCTCACTTTGAAGCACAGGCTGCCCTTGGACTCTTTATGTAACACTTGCTTCAATTCTCCTGCCTCAGCCTTCTGAGGGTTGCAATTAAAGGAATGTACCACCATGCCCCCCTCATTTACCTTACCTATGTTCAGGAGTTTGTGTATGGTGTAGGCACGGGCCTATGTAGGTATACACACCTGTGCACATAAGGAGACTAGCAGGTGTCCTGCTCTATCACTTACTCTTCCTACCCCTGCTTTGTGGAGACATGGTTTCACTGTGTAGCCTTACCTGACCTGGAACTGGCTATCTGAACCGGGCTGGCATCAAACTCACTGGTTCTGCCTTAAGGGCTGGGATTCAAGGCATGTGCCAGCATGCCTGGCTATGCCATATTCCTCTGTGACAGGATCTCTCCCTGAACCCGGAGCTAGGTGCTAGTAATTCCCATCTCTGCCCCCCACAGTGCTGCGGACTGCAGACATGTGTGAGCATGCTTTGCTTTATTTTTTGTGGGTACTGAAATCCTAACTCAGGTCCTCATGCTTTCACTGAAAGCAGTCTGCACCACTAAGCCATCTCTCAAGCCCTCAGCTCATTTATCTTAATCAATGTACAATTCTTAAGCTTTTATTTCTTTATTTTGGTGGGTTTTTGTTTGTTTGTTTTGAGACAGGGTCTTTCTACATAGCCCTGGCTGTCCTGAAACTCATTGTGTAGACCAGGCTGGCCTCAAACTCTTAGAGGTACATCTATCTCTGCCTCTTGAGTGCTGGGATTAAAGGTGTGTGCTACCACGGCCAGCTCCTATTTTCATTATGGAAAATACTCAAATTAATACTATAATTAAAGTAGAAGGAACACTCAAACAACCAAGTAACCACACTTTCATTGGCCATCACACGGCTAATCTTTGCTCATATACATAGCTTTCTACATCATCTAATAAGCTACTTTGGGGTAAAGATTATGATTTTTAATTGCTGAATTTCTATAGATTGGCAAAAACAGTACTAGGTAGCAATGAAATAACGATAGCATCATCTTCATTGTTTTGAATTCTTGATTTTTGAGACAGAGTCTCAGGGTTTCACTATTAGCCTGGATAACCTAGAACTTGTTATGTAAAACAGTCTGACTAATTATATTCATGGAGATCTACCTGCTTGTGCCTCCTAGTACTGGGATTAAAGTGTGCACTCTTACACCTTGCATATTTTATTATTTTTTAATAGCTATTTTAAATGTAAGGGAGAGAGAGTGAGTGTGGGACACAGACTGACTACACTTTTTAAAAAAGAACAAACTAATAAGCACAAAACTCAAGCACAAGTGCCAATGAACTCTGCTGTGGCATAATCCTTCTGTACATTGTGATTATTGAATATCAAATTCTGAAAATTATGCTGTGATTGGTTTAATAAAGAAGCTGACTGGGCAGGAGACCAGACTAGAATTCTGGGAAGAAGGGCAGAGTCTAGAGTTGCCAGCCAGACACAGAGGGAGCAGGAGATGAACGTGCTATGCTAAGGAAGGTACTGTAATGTGACAGAGTGTAAATAAGGAATATGGAATAACTTAAAATGTGACAGCTAGTTAGTAACAAGCCTGGGCTATTGGCTGGGCAGTTATAGTTAATATTAAGATTCTGAATGGTTTGAGAGCGGCTGCCAGCACAGGGAAACTTCTGCCAACAGACCTCTTTCCCAAAACCACCAACTGGATGCATTTTTTGTGTCACTTAGCGACAGGGAGACTAACCCACAATAGCCACCATAGTGAGTAAACACTATAAATGTAACTTCTATTTTAAACCTAGAAATTCAAAGTTTTAATTTAGGGCTCGACTCTTGACTATAGGTACCATTTCCACAAGCACAAAGAGCAACAGAAAGCAGCTCACTGCCCACCTAACAATCAGCAGGCTCAGCTAAGCAGAACAGGGTTCACTCCACATGTTCTGAATGGCATGCCTCTTTCATCTGCTTCCTCATAGGGCCCCTCATTCCTAGACAGAATTCAAACCAGGGCCTTCTGAGAGGCTGGGGTACATCGGCATGTTACCTACCTATCCTATGGAGGCTTCTTTAGGTTAATCACTTAAAGCAGGATGTGGCTTTAGGTGACCACCTCAGAAGGGGATAAAACTATAAAATTATAATTATAAAGTTACAGGCCCCAGGCACAGGTATGCTTTATGCTTCTCACTGTAAAACTAATAGTGAAAAGCCAGTAGCAGGCCGGAGCGCTCCCAGAGCTATGAAGAAGCAGAGCTAGCTGGAGAAAGCTGAAGAAGGGTGACACAGAGTACAGTAGGAAGAAGCAGCCTCCAAATCTTTAGGACATGGCTAACAGACATGTACAATTCTGCTAAACTGTGCTCACTTTTTCTTTTTTCTTTGATTTTATTTTCGAGACAGGGTTTCTCTATGAAACAGTCTGGCTATCCTGGAACTCACTCTGTAGACCAGCTTGGCCTCAAACTCACAGATAAACTCACCTCTGCCTCCTGAGTGCTGGGATTAAAAGCATGTGCCACCACCGCCTGGCCTTTTTTTGGGGGGGAGGGGTTCTGTGCTCACTTTTTCATGTGGAGATTTTATGGGATACTGTGAATTTTTTTTTTTTTAATTTTTGTTCCCATCCTGATTTTCACAACTCCTTAATTCTTAACTCTTGACTTGACAGTTCATCATCCTAGAAACAAATCCCTTATCCCATTAAGACAAGCAGAGGCTCTACTTGAACTGTAAAGAATCCAGGGCCATTCTTTTAGACATATGAACAAGCTTATTCTCTACTGGCTTGTACAGCTAGCACTGTGTAAGACACATGCATCTCCAAGGACCAGATTACACAAGTGTTCTCTCACAGATTTTCAGGAACAGAAAAAAATATAAGACAAATTAATACAAAAAGTCAAACTGCTGAGAAGACAGGGTATTTCTGCTTTAGCAAACTACAAAGGATTAATTATTAATCACCAAGGATTCAATACAACAGAACCACATACCCAGCAGCCCACTTGGCAGATCTCCTGAATACCTACCAATAAGTACCAGCACCTTGTGATGTTAGCTCCATGCCATCCACTGAATTGTAGCTATCATCATCCATGATCTTGGAAAGACCAAAATCTGTAATTTTTATCTCTCCACATGCTGTACCATTTACTAAAAGGATATTACCTAAAAAGATAAAAACCTCCATGAATAAACAGACTTCTTCATTGAGAAAAGACACACAGGAAGGAACAAGTGAACTCTAGGTCTCTGGAATAAAGTAATCTAACTCTGGACACAGGGAGAAGCCACAGTGTCTGCAGACAACTTTTATTTTCTAAGAATTGCCTGTTTAATGTGCCAAAATCCACTCTGGGCACTGGAAATAAAAATGACTTGCCAAAGTAAAATATCACTTATACAGTTGGGTTTAAAAAAAGAAAAAGGTGGGAAAATGTCACATGACCTTTCGATGTGCTCTCTGTGCTAGCAGGCTTAGAGCAGCAATGTCGGGGGAGGTGGGAGGGGGGGAAGGACATACAAAGAAAACATGCCTGGGAGCCAAACATGGTGCCAGAGCGCCCCCTAGAGCTCCTACGGCAGGAAACTGTGGTGACTTCAATGATAGAAAATGGTCACACAGCAGCCATCGTTGACACAAAATCACCTGGTTAGAAATGATTTTTCAGTCATGTCAACTGCATCAGAACAGAGCATGAACAACAGTGAGTGGCCAGCTTTTATATACAGCTACCAGAAGAGCAAGGCAGTCAAAAACCCTGCCTAAAGGAGATGATGAGAACTAGGTTTTTTTTTTAAAAAAATATTTATTTATTTATTTATTACATATATAGTGTTCTGCATGTATGCCTGAATGACAGAAGAGGATGCCAGATCTCATTACAGATGGTTGCGAGCCACCATGTGGTTGCTGGGAATTGAACTCAGGTCCTCTGGAAGAGCAGCCTGTGCTCTTAACCTCTGAGCCATCTCTCCAGCCCAGAACTAGGTTCTTAATACCCACATTCTGCTGCTTTAGAGCCATCTACATGAGGCATGCACACACCAAAACCACCACCACCACCACAACAAAACACCAGCTGAAGACAGCAAAAAATAAGGGATTAAAAAGCTCCTTGCTTTTTCCTGATGACTACCAAGTTAAATGAAAATTCAAAAAGATGAAAACCTGCTGGGACTTAAGGAAATGAGGCATACATGTACAGATCAGGGAGACCTGAGACAAAGGAACTGCTTCATAGTGTGAGTAATGGGAAAAACAAAATGGAACTTGCCACAACAGTTATTTCTAAATGACATCATGAATTTTCCTGGTTCCGCACACAAAGGCATTGTTTCTCCAGAGAATTTAATCCAACCCACCCATCCAGCACTGGGTAGCCAGGACTCCTTTCTTCCCACACCCACCCAGGCATCCTTCTTGGCTCCTGTCAAATTCTTTGACTCAATAAACTTACAAGTCACTTAAAAGACTGAAATTCCATTAATAATGTCTCCTAAAACTTAGTCATACCTGGTTTGAGGTCATAGTGTATGATGGGAGGTTTTATTTCATTTAAGTACTTTAAAGCATTCACAATCTGCATAATAATGGATCGGGCCTCTTTTTCCGACATTAATTTGTGCTGTTTCAGGTAGAAGTCCAGATCATTTCCTTCACAGTATTCTAATACTGTACAAAACCTGAAGACACATAAACCGGCATTTAACAGTGGAGTAAGGAGCAGATTACAGCTGTCCAAACCACTCCCAGCCAAGACTCGGGTATTACACGTCTCACTCCTAAACGCTCCTCTCTCTATTCATCATCAGCTGCCAGAGGGCTCCCAGGAAGAGAAGTGCTTGCTCTCTTGGAGACAGCCTCTCTAATCACCACACTGGCATCAACCGTGCCAGAGTTCACTGTGGCCCATCTCGTCTAAGAGCACTGACCAGAACTAGATTTGAGCTAGCCACCCACTTATAATAGCAGGGTCTCTTATTGTACTCAGTGGACTGATTCTTTGGCCCACAAGCAAGCTGGAAATAAATAAACCTTTATATATCCAAGTGACTCTCAGAAGATGTTCTAAACAACAGTGTGACTTGTTTGTGCTAAAAAGAACAACAGGAAAAACAAGAGTAGTAGGAAATACCATTACGGTGGAACGTGTATACAATTGAAACCAAAAGAGAATTCAAGTCATTCTTTTTATTTTCAAAGTAGTTGTAGTACTTATATTTTAGGAGAGTCTCTCTAGTATTCAAGGAGTCACTGAAAGCAAATAATAACCACAGCCTGTGGAGACTTGACCAAGGCTCTCACCCTTGGTCTTTAAGAACACTCCTTTTTTGAGCCCTACTCCCGACACACACAGGGGTATACTTGATCCAAAGGCTCCCTAGTGAAAGGGGGAAGTCTGAGCATGTAGGAGAAGGGACAAGTCATGTTTCCATAGAGAACATGGAATTCTTAGATGTATCTACACGTGGGCTAGTTGTCTGAGAGCTGCTGGGTGAACAGACCCAAACTCCTGGACACTCACTGCCTTGGGAGACCGAGGGAATACCAGACCTAAGGCTTCTTACGTTCTCCTGACTCAGCCTGACTGCAGCAAAGTGAGTGTCCAGATGCTGGAATACCCGTCAGCCCTGAAAACCCAAAGGCTCTGAAGCTCACTGACCTGTATGTTGTTATATACAGGATTATCAAGAGCACTCTCTCGCAAGTCATTTCATTTTTCTGATATTCAAAAATCGGTCTAAACATCAAGAAAGCTGACCCCTAAGACCCCTCCCAATTCTAAAATCTAAATCCCAATTCTAAAATGCCCATGAACCTGCATTCCAACCTGCAGCCCTGGGCTAGCTTTACAAGTATCATAGCTTTACATGTATGACGTCAATCCTCCTGTTCTAGGGTAACAAGACACTGCTGCTCATGAGGTTCATCAGTCTCTACAGTGGGGCAGAGCTCTCTTCAACAGCTGACACTTGCTCCCTCGCTAGCCGCATGTCAGTATCAACCGAACCAATTCCTAAGGACTGGCTGCTATACTTTCTGGAGTTTGTTGTCAGCTGGTTAGCTAACTATTTGTAAGACTAAGCAAAGTGTGATAAATCCACACAGCAGAATGTAATCTGGCTATAAGAAGGGATGAACTATCAACACACAAATACAATAAGCCAGTCACAAAGACTCCATGATTCCACCATTAAAACTGTCCAGAACAGGACATCTAAAGGTGACAGCAAGTAGTCTCTGTTTAAAGAGAGGCAATGTAAAATGGAGAAGTGACAGTCAAAAGGTTAGCTTTCTTCTGAGGATGAAAATGTCCTCAAACAATCTTGGATAATGGCTCTGTAGATCTACGACACACATGAAAACCCACTCAATTATGTACTTTACATGGGTGAATCACATAGTATATAAATTAGAATAAAGTTGTCTATTTTTTTAAGCTGATACCTTAAAATTGGATATAATAGAAGTACTTATGCCACAGATATTGGCCATCAACCTTCTCTCTCTCTCTCTTCCCCTGTCAAGCTAGTTGTAAAATGTTTAGTAGCATACAATGGCCCTTGTCCTTTAGCCAAAAGATGTCTGGCTGATACAAATCTGAATTATGTATGATTATGCGCCTGTAAATTAATAAACTTAGTTCACTTAGAGAGCATTTCACAGGCCCAGATTTAAGCTCTATTCCCTGAGTACTCAATAAATCAAGAAAATAAGGTAAGGAAAAATGGCGTAGGACTTACGAGTCAGTGTCCAGTGAAAAGTAATCATATAGCTTCACTATTCTGGGATGATCCAGTTCTTTGTGAATCCGGTATTCCCTACACGCATGCCTGTAAACAGAATGGAAATGTAACAAGAGAGCACTTGGCTTGCTTTTTAGAACTCACCCTAATTCCTCTACCATTTCCCATTTCCACATGTTCATTTTGTTTGTTCCATTTAGATCCATCTGGTCATCTCATCTAATTACTCTTTCTGCATTCTATTTTCTCTAATGTTTTCTATCTAGCCACTGAGAAAATAGCAGGTGCTCAAATATTTCTTAAATGAATGGATGCCAATCTTTTTCAAGACCCTTCTGTGCCAACCACACCTCTTTTATGTTAATTCCCAAATATTAAAAATTACAGTCTTTTCCTCTCTTCTAAAACGATGCTTCCAGGGTCTAGGGAGATTGCTTCCTGGCTGTGCTTGCCTGCTGTACCAGCATGAGGACCCGAGTGTGGGCTCCAGTACCACACAAATGCTGCAGGCATGGCGGCAGTCCATCTGCACACCAACCTCAGAAGACGGATACACAAAATCCTAGAGCAAGCTGGCAACAACACTAGCAGATCACAAGTTCTGGGTTTGACTGAAACCCTAGCTCATAAAATAAGGTAGAAGAGTGATGATGGAGGATGATTACTGATATCTACTTTGGGCTTCCGAATGTACACAGTCATATGCACACCATGTGCACAGGCATGCACGCAAAGAAAAACAAAACAAGGTACTTCCTACCTGCATGTTGATAATCTGGGGTCAAAGTAAATTTGTAAACTACTTGAATTAATGAGTTAAATGATAAATCAACTAGCAGTTATTTTATTTTTGTTTTTAAATTTCACTACTTAAAAATGCACTTGTATTGGATACGTACAGACTTTTCAGTATTTACGTTTAAGTGTATAATGTCATTTTACATATGTTATTTGAAGACTCTGCTATCTGTGGAGGTCCTAGAACATATCCTCTGAGCATACTCATTGATGACCATATTAGTATTTTTGATATTTGGTTTTCTGAGACAAGGTTTCATTATGTAGCCCTTGCTGGCCTGGAACTCACTATATAAGCCAGACTGGCCTCAACTTGTGGCAATCCTCCTGCCTCTGTCTCTTAAGTGCTGCAATTATAAACATGTACCACCACAAATGGCTTCACTTAAAACAACACCAAAAACTTTTTTAGGCTACTACATGCTCTGTAGGTAAAGGTTATTCCCGCCAAATCTGTCAATCTGAGTTCAGTCCCTGAGACCCACAGGGTAGAAGGAGAAAACTGACTTCCATAAGATGTCCTTCGACCTCAGAGTGCTGTGGCACACCCCCTTCCAAAATAAATAAATGTAATTAAAGAAGTTTTAAAAAAGTACCTTTCTAGTTTAAAATAATAAAACTATGAACAAACTGTACTATATATAATATGTGAGATACATATCAGCCACATAATAAATTTTGAAAGAAGAGAGGCCAGGGGGGAGATGGTTTAGTCAACAAATTACTTGCCTCGCAAGTAACAAGGACCCAAGCTCAAAAAAGCTGGGTGTGGTGGCACATAACTGTGACCCCAGTGCTGGAGAAATAGAGGCAGGTGGGTCCCTGGGACTCTCTGGCCAAGCAGCCTAGTCTAATTGTGAGTTCGAGGTCAAATAGAGACCCTGTCTTAAAAACTATGGTGACAGACAGCTCCTGGGGAACACAGAGGCTGTCCTCCAGTCTTTACGTGCAGGCTCACACATATGCACATCCATCTATACACACAAGAGCACCTGCACACAAGTAAGAGGCCTGCATGCATGCACAGACAAAGAGACCACAGAAAGAGTACCTGTGCGTGTGCTCACATTCACACGCACACAAGTATGGTTATAGCATGTATTTACCAAAAGGTTTTAAAAGTGGTTCTTATTTACAGACAGTAACTAGAAACTAAGTAACTTAGTACCATTTGAGATGTTTTGTTTAAGGCAGAAGTCAGAAAAGAGAAATTTTCTATAGAATGGAAAAAAAAAAAAAAAAACACAAACAAAAAACAAAATAGTGATGGTTTCTGAAGGTGGTATGGTCCAATATCAAAAAGCACACATTAAACACTTAAAAAAATTAAATTAAAATTTAAAAAACTGGGGAAGTGAGGGAGAGAGAAGAAGCCTCCAAGTAACTACAACAGGTTTTTCCCTAATGGACACTTTGGGTTTAATTTCAAGATGCTCCTTTTGGCTCCAATGCCGCTTCTAATGCTTCATTTCTTCGTTATGTCTTCCCATATAGAAGTGACAGGCACATACCAAGGCAAAGGAATAACACTATGTGAGGAACTGAGAACCTTGCTCCCTGAACTCTGGCTTCCTAATCATGAGTGGTAAGTATAGAGATGCACTGCTGTGGGCACTGAGCACACACAGCCTTGGCTCAAACCCCCATTTCACCAAAATAGCTCCACTTAGGATTCAATGCAATAGTATCTTTGGTAAAATAAAATGTTTATTAAAAAATAAAAAAACAGCCGGGCGGTGGTGGCACACGCCTTTAATCCCAGCACTCGGGAGGCAGAGCCAGGCGGATCTCTGTGAGTTCGAGGCCAGCCTGGGCTACCAAGTGAGTTCTAGGAAAGGCGCAAAGCTACACAGAGAAACCCTGTCTCGAAAAAACCAAAAAAAATAAATAAATAAATAAAAAAACAAGCTGGGTAGTGGTGGCACATGCCTTTAATCCCAGCACTCGGGAGGTAGAGGCAGGTGGATCTCTGTGAGTTCGAGGCCAGCCTAGGCTACAGAGCGAAATCCAGGACAGGTGCCAAAACTACACGGAGAAACCCTGTCTCGAAAAACAAAAAAATTAAAAAAAAACCAAAAAACAAAAACCTCACAAAGCTATGAACTAAAGAGATCACTGTTCAAATCATTTCTGGTTGAGCATACTTTTAAATGATAATTATGTGCCCCTTTGAGTACCTTTTCCACTTAGTACATTTCAAAGCATTAACCAGTTTCTTCATAAATGTACAGAAAACAAAGGAAATGAATGGCAGAGAAAGTTAAGAAAGGAAGAAAAGTGCCATTCAAAGTATTCATCATCTAAGCCAAGTGTGGTAGTGAAGCGTGTAATAGCAGCACACAGGAGGATGAGGCAGGATGGCATGAGTTCAAGGTCATCTGGGCTACAGAATGAGATCCTGTGTCCAACAAATAACCCTGAGTTCTCACCAGCTACAGCAGCACCTTAGAACAGCAACCCCAACACAGAGCCTGCCAAGCTCACAGGATCTTGCTTGCCCTTCAGCAAGGCACGACTGCCCTGTGTCCTTTACACTCAACATTCCATTTAGCATCCAATTGATTAAAGGGCTATAAGTAAGAAACCAGGAAAACTAATACACTAAAGTGGATCTTTTGTCTTTTTTTTTTTTTTTAAAGATTTATTTGTTATGTATACAGTGTTCTGCCTGCATGCCAGAAGAGGGCACTAGACCTCACTATAGATGGCTGTGAGCCACCATGTACTTGCTAGGAATTGAGCTCAGGACCTCTGGAAGAGGAGCCAGTGCGCTTAACCTCTAACTAAGCCTTCTCTCCAGCCCCCTTGTATCCCCCCGCCCCCCACTAACAAGAGTTTTATTAAGATAAGGTAAAGAGACAGAGGTGCTCAGGCTTGTGGAAAAGACACGTGAGTAAAGATCCCCCTTGTATTCTTATAGAACAATGTAAACTTAGATTTCTGGAATGCTTGCTTTTATATTACAAAGTTTGAAAAGTATTATGTATATAAGAGCATTTGAATTCAGGTATAAATTAGTTTTACAGATTAATATGTAATTTTTCCTATTGTAGAATTTTTATTATGTGTTGGAGAATTAAAGAAAACTAGCAGGGAAGAAGAAGAAATGATTCAGTGGGTAAAGTATTTCTTGTGCAGACTCAAGGACCCAGGTTGGAATCCCTAGTACCCATGTAGCCAAGTCAGACACAGTGTTGCTGGAGCCTCAGTGCTAGGGGTAGAGAGACAAGCAGCAGACCCTGGGGCTTGCTGGCCAGCCAGGCCTCCAAAATGGCAAACTCCAGATACAGTGAGATACTGTCTCAAAAAAAAGAGGTTGGAAGTGGTGAAACGCTCAACAGTAAAAGCACTTGCTACCTAGTAATCTTGAATTCTGTCTGGAGCCTCCATGGTTGGGGAGAAATGGTTCCCAAGGCCTGTTTTCTAACCTTTCACACGCATGTCATGTTAATGTATGCACATAAACCCACACAACCATAATTTAAAAAATTTTCTGGATTAAAAAAAACCCTAAGGTGGACAGTGACTGAGAAGGCACTCACTTGATGTCAACTGCTAGCCTCCACATGAATGTGCACATGAACCTGTACACACTACACCACACCACCACCACCACCACCACCACCACCACCACCACCACCACCACCCCAGCTCCACCTCATCCACTCCTTACACAAACTAAAGAAATCTAGTAATCTGTCATGTTCATACCGCAAGGGTAATAGAACAAGTCTACATTTTGTTTACAGAAAAAGGAAAGGAATTGGGTGTGACGGTACAGACTTATAATCTACTTGGAAGATGGGTGCAAGAAGCTATAGGTCATCCTCCTCAGCTACATATCTAGTAAAAGGCCAGCCTGGGCTACATAAGACCCTGTCTCAATCACCCTCCCCCAACTCCAAAAAGGAAGACAGGAATATATCTCAAAATTCAACAAAATAAGGTTTTATCTTCTTCGAGGTTATTGTGAGCCAAATAAATGATCTTACTCCAAACAAAAGTGGAAAATATCTCCCCAATGGAAAAACAATTTTAAAAGTCCTTACATAGCAAGGCAATGTTACCAACACTGTAGTGTATTTCCTCTTCAATGTTAACCTAATGCTAAATTATCAGAGCATTCTTCAGAATCTATTATGTACTTGATCTATGTCAAGTTCAGAGACGTTAATGACAATCAATTCACTATTTTTTAAAAAATTAGATTTACTTATTGAACTGGAATTACAGATGATTGTGAGCCACCATGTGGTTGCTAGGGACTGAACCCGGGTCCTCTGCAAGAGCAACAAGTGCTCTTAACTGATGAGCCATCCCTCTAGCCCCAACTTGCCATTATTTATAGCATAAGGTTCAAAGCAGGATTTCCTATCACTTAGTAAAATCAAAGGTGAAGTTTTGAAGAGTTCTCCCAAGCAACTGCAGGTCATAAGAACACCCCTTCCTCAGGATGTCAACTGAGAAATGGCCCCTGACAGAGGTCTGCACAGCCACTCTCTGGTGCCATTGTTCCCCAAGGAGGAAACAGTGAAAGGACCACACACAGCCCTAGTTAAAGAGCAAAGTGTAGACAAAGGAGGCAGTGTCTGTTTTGTTGGTCTATCTCTTTCTTCCCTGATTCATTTTTATTTATATGCATGAATGAAAGTCTGTGCATGGCATTGGGGTGGCGCTATGTATGTGTGTGTGTGTGTGCGTGCGCGCATGTTAGAGGCCAGAACCAAGTATTAGATGCCCTGGAACTGGAATTATAGTTGGTTGTAAGCCACCCAATGTGGTGCTGGGAACTGAACTCAGGATCTCTGCAAGAGCAAGCGCTCGTAACCAGAACCATCTCTCTAGTCCCTCACTTGTCCTAACTCCAGTAGAGAGATGAGAGAAAGACAATCGATTGGCTGGACATGGTAGCACATGTCTGTAATCCTATCTCTTAGAGGCATAGAGGCAGGAGAATTGCTTTAAGTTTGAGGCCAGCTTAGTCTATGTCATGAGACCCTGTCTCAAAGAAGTAAAACTGAAACAGAAAACCTCAATTTATGACCATCAGGGCTCAAACTGCTTGCCAAGTATGTCAAGGAGGGACCAGGACCTAGCTTTGATCCATTTCAGAAGGCCAGATGAGCTAGATAACCTTCCAAAGTCACTCTGGTATCCAATATTACAATTCTCTTAAGGTCAGTCTAAAAGCTAGATCTGGAGTCTATGACTTGGCAAAATACATACAATTCCCAGCACAGAAACTATGTTCTCAAGGTTGACCATACTTGGTCCCTAGAACCAACTATTTTACAGTGGTCAATACACAGGTAAGCTGAAGAGCAGGCTCCAAGGGTATCTATAGGGTACCTACAGAGGTGCATGTCCTGGTTTAACAGCCTTGACCATCCCTACAAGTCTCAATACAACAAGGACAATTTTCATTAATAACTGGTCAGAACATGTGGTTTTCCTTCTCTGAAGTGTTCCTGGCATTCACTACTGCATGCCATTCATCCCCGATGTCAAGTGACTGGAATGCACTTTTAATAATGTATCTGGCTCCTCAGGAACATCTGGCCTGCAGCTGCTTGTCACAGGAGCTGTGCACACAGGGAGTTGTGCACAAGGCATATATCAAAGCCTGCTTTCCTCACGTGCCGCTGAGCTCTGCTACCAATCAGTGTGGAACAGACAGACTTTGAGGTCCCTGCTGTACAACAGGTCTAAGGCAATAGCTGTCCCAGTCCAGGCATGAAGAACTGTTTGTTGAGGAAATATATGATTTTCCTTTTAAGACTTAGAAGTTAACTAAAAGGCTTCTTCAATCTCTATTTTTTTTTCTCCTCCAAAGTCTTATGAGGAAAAAAGAGCAGACCCCCAAGGCTGTCTCCAGAACAGGAAGCATTTGTTACTGTCAAAGGGGCTTGTCTCCTCCTTTCAGGGACAGAACCTGTCTCATTCAATACTTGTATCTACCTCAAGGAGACAAAACTGCTCAGTGGGAAACCTAATAGCAAATTAAGTCTGGAGCTTCCAATGCAAATGAGCCATGAACTCCAGTGTTTGGAAGCTGAGGAGGGAATATGGCAAAACCTGACATTAGTGGAACAAAGATATCCACAGCTGCATATGTAGTAATTATTTAATCTGAGGAAACCACCCCCTTAACCCCTCAGTCCCAAGGACAAAGAAGGACTACCACTTTACTGGCATTCTTGAGAGGCAGCCACAGAAAGTGAAGCACTAAAACCACAGAATTTTGAGATGGGCAAACAGACAGGTGAGGGAAAGAAAGAACAAAGTACTGAGAGGCTGAAGTCAAGCATGCGCCACTGAGGCACACCAGGACTCCATCCTTTTAGCTTTCCAGACCACCAGGCATTCTCATGAGTTTCTACAGACAAACAATGGTTTCTGGTACCTTCCTTGTTTACTGTAGCTTTGTTTAGAGACAACAGAAGGGGGGATTAGAAGTACGGCCTTCAGATTGAGGGATGGCTGCATTTAAATTTAGAACTCATCTAATGGGTAAGATATGGAGTGTATTTCCCTTGCTGGAACAGTTAGGAAGATGAAAGAAAAGCAACAAGAACTCATCCAAAGCTCTTCCACGACGCACGAACCATAGCTCCCATCAATGAGTGTGGAAAAATCAAGCACTTCAGCATCACTTACTTGTGGTAATTCTCCTTTTTCTCATCTCTCCAGTTTTTATTTAACTGGTGAATTTTCACAGCTACATATCTTTGCTCTGTTAGATCAAATGCCTATTAAAAAAAGGAATAAATTATATTTTACATAAACACCCACAAGAATTACAGAGAACTGACTTGCAGCTTCTATTTAACAGATCAGCACAAAGCACACCATTCAATGAAAGCGGCAGCAGATGACACCCGCCATACTTGTTCCAGTGTTGAAACCTTCTTCCTGAAACTTGTGATTAGATAATTCAGAAGTCTCCAGACACACTGGCACCGTGAGATTCAGAAGACAAACTCAAGCAAACACCACAGGCAGAAAGCCAACCCATGCCCTCACGCTTCCTCCCAACAATGCTTGCTCTGGATGTCATGAGGGCCTCATCTGGGACCTTTCTCCCGAGATTCTCTCTCACCCTCAGCCTGGGGAGCTCATGTGTCAACACTGTCTCTCTACGTTTGAAATCCTGGGATACACACAGATTGCTTCCTATAGAAAACAACCCAGCTGGATATGGTCATTGGTATGACCATTCACAAAGTATCCCATAACTCAGTATGTTGTGTTTACTAAAATAGAAACAGAAACAAAACAAAACAAAACCAAAACTCTCAACCTTCCATTTGGTGCCATGTCTCTGTACTGAGTAAAGCAAAGTCTTAATGCCAACAGTGGCTTTCCTGAAGAGCAGCAGTGTGGCAGGCTCAGCACTGGGCAAGCAATGCTTCTCTACCAGTTCCCACAAATGCACACACAGGCACGGGTGCACAGCATGCCCCAGGAACAGAGGTGATCACTGTTCCACCATCTCCCCAGTGCCTCTCTAGGAAAGCCATGTCCAAACCAGGGGCTATTTATGAAACAAGGGACTTGTCACCCAGGCTAAAGAGAAATGAGTATATAATGGAAAAACCTGCTTCACAGAAATGAAACAAATACACTTTTCTCATGCTCTACAGAATATATACCACTATGGCTTTACTCTAAAAACCATTTCAAGATGTAAAAAACTAGGTTATATCGCACCTAGTCTGTGAGAGCACTAACACTTACCAAAGCCAACAAAAAGGGCAGAAAAATCTGAACAGAACTTATCTGTGGGAGGAAGTGTTTATGAAAGGAGAGGTTAGCACGGCCCTGACAAGGACTGAAAAGCCTCAGGCCGGCTAAGATCTTTTTAGATTATGGATTAGAATATAGAAAAATGTCTGCCGTAAATCAAACAGTGAAGGGGAAGATGAATAGGAATCTCACTTACACAACTTAAGTAAAACACAGCTCTCTGAACAGATGAAAAATAAATAAATAAATGTTTTGCCTGCATGTAAATAATAATAATAATAATAATAATAATAATAATGTTCTTACTATGTAAAAATAAATAAATTAAATTTTTAAAAAGAGATGGCTCAGCCATTAAAGGCTAGGCTCACAACCAAAAAAAAAAAAAAAAAAA